CGCCCTGCCCCCCCCCCGCCGCCGTGTCCCCGCGCTGTCCCCAGCGGCCGGCAGATGGCCCGGTGCCGGTCCCACGCCATGGCCACGGCCACGTAGGCCGAGGCGAACATGGCGACGCCCTGCAGGTACTTGGTGAGGCGGCAGAGCGGGTCGGGGCCGCGGAACCGGTCCGTGAGGTCCCAGAGCAGCTGCGGCAGCACCAGCCCCGCCGCCGCCGCCAGGTCCGCCACGCTCAGGTGCCGCAGGTAGCGGCGGAGCGGCCGCGCCGGGCGGGCCGGGGGCTGCCCGGGACCCCGCGGGGCGCGGGGCGGGGGGCGCAGCGCCAGCAGCACCAGCAGGTTGCTGCTCAGGGCCAGCAGGAGCAGCAGCGACAGCACGGAGACCTCGGCGACAGCCAGAGCCGCGTCCCGGGGGGGTGGGGCACTGGGGGGGCAGAAAAGGGGGAAAATTGAGGGGGGGCAATGAGGGGACCCCCCCAAAAGAGAGAGGGGGTCACCCCCAGCCCCGAAATGTGGTGATGCCTCAACTGGGGGGGACTGGGGGGGACTGGGAACAGCCTGAACCCGAACTGGGAGCACTGGGAGGGGCGCGGGGGCGGTTCCGCGGGGTTTTAAGGGGGTCTCAGGCAGTCCGGGGGTCTCAGTCCGGGGGTCCCAGGCGGCAGTCCGGGGGTCTCAGGCAGTCCGGGGGTCTCAGCCCGGGGGTGTCAGGCGGTCTGGGGCAGCGCCCCCTGCTGGAAGTGCTGCCGCTCCCAGGCGCTCATCAGCGAGAGGTGCAGGGGGCGCTGGCAGGAGGCGCAGGCGGGGCCCAGGGGGGAGTCCCGGGGCAGCCCCAGCGCCCCCCAGCACTCGGACAGCTGGTCTGGGGGGCGGGGGGCACGGTGAGCGGGGACCCCCCCGAGTGACCCCCCGAGTGACCCCCCCTTGTCCCCCCACGTCCTGTTCCTCACCCCGTGTCCCCTCCATGTCCCCGTGTCCCTCCCGGTTCCCGTTCCCCCTCCTTGTCCCCGTGTGTCCCCCCCATGTCCCGCCCGTGTCCCCATATCTCGGTGCCCCCCCCTCGTTCCCGATGCACCCCCCCGTGTCCCGGTGCCCCCCCTTTGTCCCTGTGTTCCCCCGTGTCCCCCCCGATTG